GGGATGTTCAAGAGAGGGAAATAAATGGATAAGGATGTTGAATAGGTAGTTTTTAAAAATAATATTGAGTCTTTATTTGATTTTTATTTATTATTTTTTTGTGTCTGTCTATTTTTGTCTAATGTTTGGAGTAAATTGAGTATCGTGTGTGGCTTGAAACTGTTTTGTAAAATCAATGTTAAAAAGGAGCAGTTATAAAATTTTCCCTCCAACAATTGATTCTATGGCCATTATCAATTATTTATGTCTCAGGCCCAAATTAATCTACCGTGGCCCTTCATTTTCTGGTATTGGGCCGTTCGGCCATAGCTCACATTAATTTCTGTCCAATACGTCGCGTCAGCATATATACTCCAAAATACTGAAAATAAAAGGGAAATTTTTACACATACCACTAGAAATAAAAGAATTTTCAATTTTACCTTCCTAGAATAAGTAATAAGATATATACCTAATCAAGCTATTTTATTTACATGATTGCCTAAATATCAGTTACTTTTTGTAACCTCCTCTATCCATATCAGTTATCCTTTGGTGGAGTGATTTACTCATTTAATTCCTTAATTCGCGCAACTGAAATTCATTAATTCATGCAGCTCTCAGGTAGTATATATTGAGTTTATGTTAGTATATATTCAGTATATGTGCGCAACTGAAATTTCTTAATTCACGCTCCAAACCTGTAATTACGGCAATGATTGCTAATTAAATGAGAACATTAATATAAGAATCCATTATATATGGAATGGATATATATCTAAAATATAATCTCGAATTAGTATATGTTGAGTTTATACGTGGTATATTAAGAGAATATTTTATTAAAGACGAAACTAACAAATGAATAATTTTTTTTGGAGATTATTGCAACATATACTAAATATAAACTCAATATATACTGCCCTTTCAAGACATAAAAATTTATACTGACTTTTAAACTCAACATAACCGTGTCCTTTGTTTTAGGAAGAAGGTGAAATTTAAAATCAATATGATGTCCTTTCTTTTATACTAAAACTAAACTCAACATATACTAATCCGTGATTATATTACATATTCATAAGACATACATATACTGAACATATACTGCATATACACTCTACATATACTAAAACATAAAAAATGAAGGACAAACTATATTTCAATCATTAAACATATATCGTGGCCATGCCACTCAATAACAACCCCCTAAACAGATTAATCATATTCAAATAAACCATTAATCTGATTCGTGAATTATAGCATGAGTTTACAAAACTTTCAACATGCTGACATATGCAAATTGACAAACTCATGAGTGGGGTCACCAAAATTTCATTAAACAATATTAAAAAATATAACATAATTAGTTGACGCAAATTACAATCAAAACATTAACTAAATTCCCCAGCAAATAATTATCGAGCGCTGGAATTCGAGAATAGAGATGCCAGTGATGCATAAAATTTGTGAGTCTGATGCGTAATTCACAAATATATATATCAGGTTGCAGGGCGGACAATTCATCACAAGCCGAATCAAATTTCATATAACATAAGTGATGCGGACAGAATATGCATCCAACACGATCGGCCACAAAATTCAAGTCATCATACATGTAGGGGGAGAGAAAATATAAGCATAAAATTGTAGGAAAAGCAGAAAAGAAGAAGAAGAGAGAGGGGGGGGGGAGGGAGAGAGAAGACGAAGACAGAGAGGGGAAGGAGATAAATAAAGTGCATGTTTAATTTCAATTAAGGATTTCATTAGCATTTAATAAGTTGTCAGGTATAATTGAAATATTTTTAACTTGTTTAGGTAATGTTATAAATAAGAATATAAGGAATATATAAATGTAATAAAAATTATAGGTGGAAGTAGGGAGTGCAAATTCCTCAAAATAATACACAACAATATCATAGCACTTTCATCCATCTATTAAATAAATAAGTCGAAAAACATATAAGTGCGATAAAATCAAGCGTATAAAAATAAGCTAATAAATATATAAACCACACATTTTTTTCGACCAATCAAATCTTCCCAAACTTAGACAGATGTTTGTCCCTAAGCAACTTAGAACTAAAAGCACATAGATGGACAAGAAAACAAGTACGTGGAACTTTACTCAGGCCTCACAATTCTCACATAAGTGCATAGTTTTTTTTTTTTT